GAGAAAGGGGAAAATGACCACCCTCTTTATAAGGTCTTGTCCAACCTTCCTAAGTATTTCCCCCACCTCTGGGATCATTAGCTTTTAGTTCACCCTCTGCTTAGGATCGCAGTGTGATTTTATTATAGATTTTATTGATTTTATTATAGACATGTGTAGTTTTGTACTCTTCAGTAGATTATAAACTAATGTCTCATCACTTTTTATATACTCTTAAAACCTAATAAATTAATCACTTATGGTAATACTTCAAAAAATCTTTTTGGATTTTCTAAAACAAAATCAGAGAATTCAAATAAATTGCACAAGATGGGAATTGCCAAATTATTTTAAGATATTAATTTCCATGAAATGGCATTTTAAAAGTGGTAATTGGTTCACTGTTAACCCCCATTCAATCGAGGCAGTTACATTGTTTTCTGACCACCTCCGTTTCCTTCATAGGAAACGTGAAGTAAGTGGGGCTGTGTTGTGTGACTACTGAGGAGCTAAGTTGGTGCAAAGTGGTCATTGTTGATGGTTTCAGTCCACTAGGGGGCACTCGAGGAGTTCCAGAAATGAAGACTTTCTCTGATGTTCTCAGAGGATGGAACAGGATACAAGAGGACATGCGAGTCAGTCAAATCACAGATAACAGGGAGCTGGTGCGGGGTGGTGAGTGATGTGTGTGTAAAGTTCATCTTAGGTTTTCAGCTCTGACATTCTATATAAAACCTCAGAAAGCTGGAGTTCATAGGTCTATGAATCTGTTGTGAAGATGATTCTGTAAGCAGAGGTAAGGGAATTGGAGTTTTAATGGGCATTGGGAGCATGGATGCTCATTAGAAAAAATCTCCATTACATGTTTTCAGTTTCTAAATTCTCATGATTAAAATTCATGAAATTCACTGACCTGGAAATTATTCTAAATACCCCTGATATCTGATCTTTTCTTATATCTTCTCTGAGACTAGAAGGAAGAAGAATAAACAGAAGAGAAGAAAATAGGAATAAAATAAGGATCAAGAACAGAAAGAGAATAGGGAGAAGACAATTTTTAATTTGACCAGCAATGTGTGGCCTGGTCAGAGCAGTTGTGAGAGCCTGCAGGGTGTGTGGGGAAAGGTCTGGACAGGGGAATGGGAGAGGTAGAAATTAAATCAGAGTGGATATCATACACACATCCTATTTTTCCCCCAACCAACCAACCTCTAGTTGGAAACATTTTCTAATCTCCTAATTTCAAGAAACTATTTATTTCTAAATTCGCAATGCATGTTATCAAATAGTTTTCATTTATCAGAATTTTCATATATTTGAATTCTCTAATTTTCTGTCAAACTGTGTAATTTGGGAAATGGGGTCTCTCTTCCCATGACTCTTTAAAGCTCTACTTAACCCAGCTGAGACACAGATTCTTCTGAGAGGTACCATCTCCCTTCCTCACAAATTATCTGTAAACTACTCTTACATAAAGTGCTTTAAAAAAACCCTATATCTTCATACATTAGAAATAGTGCCTCTTCCTCTCGTGAGAGATTGCTGTGCAGTCTCACTGGGCCACTGTGGGTGGTTTCCTGTTCAGATGAATTTTTAAAACTTTTGTTTTTAAACTTAAAAACTTTTAAATAAAAGACTGATCATGAACATTGCAGTAAGGCATGTTGAAGAGTTATCTGAATCCTTCAAAAAGTTGAGAAACTCGGCCAGGCGCAGTGGCTCACGCCTGTAATCCCAGAACTTTGGGAGGCCAAGGTGAGCGGATCACGAGGTCAGGAGATCGAGACCATCCTGGCTAACACGGTGAAATCCCGTTTCTACGAAAATTATAAACAATTAGCCGGGCATGGTGGCGAGTACCTGTAGTCCCAGCTACTCAGGAGGCTGAGGCAGGAGAATGACGTGAACCCGGGAGGCGGAGCTTGTAGTGAGCCGAGATCTGGCCACTGCACTCCAGCCTGGGGGACAGCAAGACTCCGTCTCAAAACAAACAAACAAACAAACAAACAAACAAAAAGTTTAGAAACTCTAGTTTTGAAAATTAATACATTAAAATTTGAATATCTGCAGGTTTCAAAATAGAAATTAAATGTAAGGGTAGCAGCTTGATGGAAAGGAATATTATTTTCCTACGAAGTTTTGAATGATCCAGTTATCGACTTAGAGGCTAATTTTCAAATTAATTTTTCTTATAATTGAAGATACAATGATAGAATGCACAAACAAACATAGTGAATCATATACATATCAGGAAGCCACTTTGTTACTTTTTAAAAAAATATTTATTTTTTAAGAGAAGGAGTCTTGATCCATTGCCCAAACTCAAGTGCAGTGACAAAATTATAGTTTGCTTTAGCCCTGAACTCCTGGGCTCCAGTGATCCTCCTGTCTAGGTCTCCCAAAGTGCTGAGATCACAGAAGACCCTGTCTCTGCTTCTGACGGAGCCCAAGGATTGGTTAGGGTAACCTCAGACCCACTAGATTGCATGTGGGCGTGACGATGGTCTTGGAGTTCCTTGATGCAGGATAATTTCTAACTACTCCCATGCTCTATGTTGTACACAATCAGTCCTCAGTAAATATTTGCTCTGTTAAATAGTATAAAAGAATGTTAGACTTATAAAAGCACTTAGAAACCTTTTAGTTCAACTTCATTTTACAAACACGAAAACTATATCCAAAATGCCAGTATGGAAACCATTAGATAGTAAATGATCTAGGAGTAGAAAGAAACTGGATTTCCTCACTTCCTCCTTAGCCTTCTTACTCTTGCCTATTCCTGCAGGCACATATTGTTGAACAAAGAGAAACTATCTAACGGCAGCCCTACCAGGCTGACCTGTGCATTTTGGTTCCCAGAAAGCCTTGGTCCAATCACTTTGACCATGAGAGCAGAGAGTTCCAGTTTGTGTAAACATTTACCACTTTGGGCAAGAAAGATATTCAGGCTGAGCCACTGTTATTCTATGAGGAAATCAGTCCATGACTCACTGGCTGCTGTGGGAGTGAGCCAAACGTGATGGTGACACCCTCAACCCCCAGAGGCGTTTCTAAGGACTTTCCTAAAAATAGTAAGATATATTCATTATGCTGGGTGGATATTTCTCCAAGGAAGGATGTGGACATAGTGAGCATTACTCTACATTGTCAAAAAATAATAATTAGAATAGAGAAGCTAAGGGTAACATGTCCTTGTGTAGCTGACAGTTCATGAAGGGGTTAGAAAATCTTTTCTGGGTCAACACATTGACAATGAGTTAGGTAATATTCAATGAAATAATCATAGGGTTGGGAATTTTGTCCAGGGGATGGCTATACCTAAGGCATAGTTAATATGTGGAATACTGTGATCCATATGAGTGGTCATATTTAGACCATTATATTCAGTTCTTAATGCTATACTCAAAAGGCCAAATATTGACCTAAATTATCCATTACCAAAAGGATAGAAATTCCTCCAATAAAGGATTTGAGAATTATATTGTATAAGGAATGAATAAGAAAAGGGAAAATCCTTAGAACAGAGAAGTCTTACATATGTAAAACCACACATTTTATGTATACATATCTATATTTATATATTTTAGTTGATATTTTTCATCATAACTGTCCTTACATACTTAAGGGTGCAAGATGTGAATAAGAAATTATATTGAGTCTCTGTAATTCCAGGGGCCTAGTGAGCACAAGTCACAGGAAAGGTGCTTTCCTTCTGGAAAGGAGATAGTATTGGTTTCTGAGGAAACTTTCCCCATGGTCACTTTTTTAGTCTTGCACTATCCTTCCTAGTGGACACAGGCAATATTTTGGCTTCCACAGATTTATTTTTACGGAAGTAATCAGAACATATCAAAAATTAAAGTAGATGAGAAATTTTTTTTGGCAAGGAGAGATAAACCCAGAAAGGTACAAGACTGAAGGACTTTATCAATATCTTAGGCAAGAATGTTGTAGTGGAGTTTCGGAGAAAACGGCAGATATGGAATCAGAGCTAGCAATAGCTACGGCAAGAGCAGTCCGTGCCAGATGAGTTGGTTCATATTTTAGAGGCAAGTTCCACTGAAGATATGAGTCAGTCGTTGTATTTAAGGACATGCCATATTGATATCATTCATTTTGATATCAGAAAATAAAAGCACCTTAATAAGAAATTTACATGTGGCTTCATTTTTGGAGCCTGCAGCGTGATGTTTTCTGAGAATTTCTCCTTGTTCTTTCTGTGCTTTGCAGAATACAAGCCACATAGCAATAGGAAAAGACTTATTAAAACATGCCAGATTTCTCCTTGCAAACCAGCCCAATCTATGGGTCAAATTGTTCCTATTGTTGGAGTATTAATAACTAATGGAACTTGTCCCCCTTCTCCTTTATCATTGTACTTTAATTCGTTACCTTTTATTAAGGCCATCTTTACCAAAGAAAGATTCCACATTTTGACTGTTGGTACTGTTAAGTCTCTGGGAATAGAAGGTCATGGGGAAGACCAGTCTTGGAGAAGCAGAACCTGAGATAATATGCACTTGAAATATTGAGCGGTCCTCTCTCTTACTCTTATCTTTGGCTTACATACTCCTTTAAGAAAGAGTTTTTCTCCATAACAAACAAATCCTGATGATAGATTTGACTGCAAGGGAATATATTACTTTTCTTTGTCCAGGAGAGTGAATCATGGTGCTTTCCTGATTTTAAACATGTAAACTTGGTGCATCATTGTATAAACACCTGCAACATCGACCTCTTTCCAACTTTTTAACAATGACTCATTAGTTTGCATAATATCAATCTTGATGTCTACTTTCTTACTGTGAACTTAATCTCAGTGTGAGGACTTTATTTGTTTGACCTATTGCTCCTTTTGTTTATCTGAGTCCCTCACAGGGTTATAGAAAAACATTCAAACAGCAAGTTTAGTAGCTACGAATGTGACCACAAGATGGCAGTGCTTCTCTGCTAATGCGGAACACATGGAGGGTTCGTTTTAGTGGATACTGAATAAATACGTTTATGGCAGAAGCAGAGCCTTTTTCTATTGGCTGAGTAGACAATGTGAGAAACCGCTATGATTTTTAGAGGAAAGCAAGGAAAACCCGATGATAGAAGTAGCTCTTATGGCTAGAGATTGTAGGTTTATGACTGATCCTATTTGGGAAGAACAATGATGGCATGCATTCGAGCTTCATTTATGTACTTGTGGCTGCAGCTGGACTGTGAGTTTAGAGTTTTGGGTAACACAGTATATTAGGTGATGTTTTTGAGATGTCCAGGGGAAGAGTTGCTTTATTTAGGTTTCCTCTAGTTACTGTAGAAAAAGAAAATTCTGGAGAATAATAACTTGATAAACCTTCTTCTTTTTCTTTTTCTTTCTGCACAGGGGTGAGCAGAGGAGAGAGTGTGGGGCTGCATCTTCCTACCGTGAGTGTTCAGGAGGGAGACAACTCTGTTATCAACTGCACTTATTCAGACAGTGCCTCAGACTACTTCCTTTGGTACAAGCAAGAATCTGGAAAAGGTCCTCAATCCATTATAGACATCCGTTCAAATATGGCTAAGAGGCAAGGCCAAAGACTCACCGTTTTCTTGAATAAGACAATGAAACATCTCTCTCTGCAAATTGCAGCTACTGAACCTGGAGACTCAGCTGTCTACTTCTGTGCAGAGAATACACATTGCTTCCCAGGCACCTGTAACCATCACCCAAACCTGAGATGGGAGGTGAAGCAGCATCTCCTTTCCTTTAGAATAAATTTTAATTATAACACTTATCATTTTGTTTGTTCATAAGTGGAAACTAACATATAGATATTAAAACCATATAATAAGAAGGTTAGATTCAAGGAGACCCAGAAAGGTTTAGAGCATTTTGTTGGACAGTTGATGCTTAATGGATTCTGTTTTTCAAGAAAAAGTATGGTACGCATTTAAGTTAGCAACATGAAGTTTTGATATACATGTACATAGTAAAGAGTCAGCTAAAGAAATGCATAGGGCAAGGTATGGGAAAAATGGCACTGAGCTTCCATGCCTTCTCTGGCTATGCCACCCACCATGTGTTCAGCAATCAGGAAGCCCTGCTCAAGGGATCCTTACAGAGATTTAGTGATGTTTGATTTTGTAATCTAGTCTTTAAATGTGACTTTACATTTGCTATTCAGACTCCTCTCCTGTATATAACCCCTTAGTATCAATATTGTAATCCCTATTATGGATAAATTATAACTTAGTTTTCAAAATTGCTTTTGTTATCTTTTTCTTATTGTAAAACGTTGCATGCCAACACCAGATAATGTGTAAAATACAAAAAACACAAAATTGATAATTCTGTATCCAGATAGTTTTTTGCTAATATTAGATTGGTGCAAAAGTAATTGCTGTTTTTGCCATGGTTTTTAATGGCAAAAACAGCAATTACTTTTGCACCAGCCTAATATGTAGCTTTGTTTCTTCATAGAGTCCTATTATAATTAGGATCATGATTTTTTCACCTTTTCTTATGTCTCAAATTGAGCTTTTCTCACTTCGTCAAGTCCTCTCCTCAAACACATGCTTTTTAATAGCTCTGTGAGAAATTTTCATAAGTCACAATTATTTTCATTTTCTCACTCTCTGTATCTGTGGTAAAATTTGACAGCCCTTTCTACCTGCTGTTTCTTGTAGGGAAAATGTGATGCGTTTTCCTTTAGAGTCAAGTTTGGATATATACCCTGTGTGTGTGAGGGAAATTAAAACAGGAAGTGACTTTACAATGTGAACTTCAGATTAGACTCATCAGTATATTCTTCTTCAAAATCTTATTGGTATCTCTTCTTATTTACCCTCTCACAGAATTAAGACGAGTTATGTTTTTTAATCACTGCTATTTCTGCAGAACCTAGTGTAAGCTTTTCACATTGTTCATAATCAGTAGATGTTTGTTAAAGAGAGAAAAAAATGGATTAAACTTGTATATTCAAAATTTTAATTTAGCCTTTGTGGTTGAATTAAATGTATAATTTTATTTGTGAATAATTAAACTCATAAAATATATATTTAGTTTACTTGAATATTTGAGAGCTTAATATTTCTTTCCATCTATCTATGTCATTCTTTTCCATAAAACTTCATTGTTTTAAGATAATTAAATTTTTTCTAGACATTTAATTTTTATTGCTACCTTTTTCTTTCTGAGGTATGTGGGAATGTTTTTAATAAATGTTTTTCAGCTACTTTATTCAATTCTTATTAGTAAATTCCTGGAGGCATTTGCATAGTTAATTTGTAGTAGCTTGTTCCAAATACCCCACCTCATTTTCATGTTTTGACTGCTTTAAACAATACTAGCACAGTTTCCTTTTCAAAAGTCTTTTCTTTTAGTGTTGTCGATAAAAATAATGAAAATAAAGAAGTTGCACAAATAATTAATTCCCTAATTCTCCCACCTGTGGTCAAGAGTAGGCTAATATTATTCCTCATATTATTCCTCATATTATTACTAAGGATGGATATAACTGGCGATTGGTAGGGTGAGAATGATCCCTTCTGGCTGAATTATGGCTGTTAGTTATTAGGTTGGTCTTATAGGAAAAGTCATTAGATTAAATTGAGGTTAAAAACAACTGAACAAGCAAGGTCAGTATTGTAGCCCAACAACTCAACTGGCTTTTGTTATTTTCCTGTCTATACCACTAGCTTCTCTCCAGAGAAGAAAGCTGACTCTTGATCAGTCCATTTCCTCCCAGACTGAAATGGAGTGAGTGGGAATCATGGCTTATAGTCTATTTATTTATTGCTTGAAAGAGTGTAATTACAATTGGCTTATTTGCTGTATCTTAATTGTCAATTTTTCCAATGTAAGAAGAAAAATTCTCTAGCTAGAGTGTGCAAAGTCAGTACACAGCTTAGATTCAGACACATTTAAGCATTAAACTTTAAATGGAAAATAGTACTGATGAGGAGAGACACTAGTAGGTAATAAAATCTACTATAAAATTACCTTCTGAGGTTGGCATAGAATGAAACAGATCAATGGAGCTAAATAAAACACATTGAACAAATACACCAAGTTTGGTGTATTTTTTTGTTGCCTGTGTACAAACTTGCTATCTTAAAACAATAGATACATATTTTTTTCAATCAGTTTCACTGGGCTGAAATCAAGGCATCAGTAGGGCCCCCTCCAGAGGCTGCAGAGATGAATCTGTTGCTTGCCTCTTCTAGCTCTGTCAGCATTTCTTGGCTTGTGGTGCCATCACTGCAATCCCTGTTGCTATAGTCACGTTGGCTTCTCTTCTTGTGTTGTCAAGAACACATTTCCACAAGTTCAAAGGCAATATTTCTTCAAAAAATTTTTTGAATACTTAAGTAAAGTAAAAGCTGATTAAATGAAAGGCTAGGAAAGAACCTGTACTTGTTGGTTAAAGGACTGAATATAATGGGTTTATTTGTCTATTAATAGTTAAGTGTGTAAGAATGGAATATGTGTGGTTCAGAACATTCTGAGTAATATGAGCCTACTAGTGACCAGTTCATAGTGAGATGACACATGACTTTGGGAGGGGGAAGAATGCAAGGCCGTTAGAGCTAAAAGTAATAATGCTTTAGGCCATGGGAGTTCACAGATGTCTGATAGGGTAATTAATTTTATTCTTAATAGTCCTATGTTGTTTCAACGTTTTCAGAGGAGCAGCAGGTGATAAGAAAAGCAAAGTTCCTGAGTGAGAGCAAAACCTTACATAACTGTCCTAGAAAAATATGTTCCTCTACATATAGATAATTCGAATTGGCACAGATAAGACATGGAAATCAATGATTTAGCTATTGCAGGTGCTGTGTCTTTATGACAGGTGAGTGCTTCAACTCATGTAGAAAATAAAACAACTCTTACTAGTGCATACTCACAACCCCTTAGGGAGTAGAACTGTCTAAAACATACTCAACTGTTCCCTTAGGACAGTATTCCAGTTCATATTCAATTTTTACAGTTTTCATGGAATTTTGGAGGTTCCAAAAAGGACATGAACTGTCTACATTCCCTACTATTCTAGAAAAGTCTCCCCACAGATGTTTAATATTGCAGTCAACATGTCCCTACCGTGATGAGTGGTCCCTGAGGGGTGTTAACAAGTGTTCATTGACAATCATTTGGTTCCACCAAACAGCCTTTCTGGCCTTGATATATCTTATCATCACTGATCAAACAAATCAATAATTTATCTAAGATGGAGTTATTGACATTTTCCATGGATGTGCCATTAAGTTCCATAAGAGGTGCTTGCATAAGGACTTTAGTCAGAAAACCATGTTTAGCATGATCCTCTGCTCATGTACTTTTTTTCTAGCTTCTAAAGTGCCTTTCATACATGGGACTTTGTCTTCATTAGGAAATTTATTTGAATAGCATCAAGGCATCAAATAATTTAAGTATTTGGTGTCCATTTTTATAAAGATACATGAAATATACGAGAAGATTAAGAAGAAGTAAAGAAGGTGAAGAAACCTCATCAGCTCCATTATATTTGGAAGTTGTGAACTACGTTAAAGCATTGACTATCACTGTTTATATTTATCATAATTTGACATGCAAAAACGAGAGTCACAAGTTCAGCTACTTGCATTAATTTTACTTCTTCTAAGAGATTGAATTTTATAAGAGAGTCTTGGGTAGTTATTACATAATAAGTTTCATGTTATTCCTTTTCAACTTTGAGTATAAGACATTAAAACAATTAATTAAGTGTTTAATTAATTGTTCAATTAGTTAATCAGAAGTTGATATAAGACTGTCCAAGATATCTGTTTGTGTATGGACACTTCTTAAATAACAAAAATGCAATTAAAAGATTTATTGATTGAGAAGTGTAATGGAGTTGAACACGATGAAGATAAATTTGTAATATTTCATAATTAGTCCACCAAATGGAAGAAAAAATAATGGATGCTTTTACAAAATAGATAACTTGTACTGTATGTGGTATCATAAGATTTAATGGTGATTCCTGTGAAAGATCTGAAGATACTTCAATCAGTTTTGACAAGGCTAAGATAAGCTATTTTAAGACAAGAACGATAAGCTATGGCTACTATATTAAGAAATAAATTACAGTAGCAAGGCAATGACCTTTGTTGTTTGCAATGTTGTTGAGTGGTATCACTAGGGCATGGCCTTTAATATTCACACAGAAAGAAAAGTTTGTTGCAATCAGTGATCCTATAATCAGTTGTCCTGTATATGGGATTGCCCAGAATACATTCTCTTCAGAGCTGGGCGTACAAAACGGAGTGGCTTGCTGGGGCTTATTTGGGGTCTGAATTGAAGTCATGGAAAAAATATAAATTCAAAAGCTTAATAACCTTATAACCAAACTCTGATATCTAATATGATCCGTATGAACAGAGCTGGCTGTTGAAACTGAATAGAAAAGAGAACGGGACCTTTAAAATACAACTTGATATCTGAGGGGTTAATTCTAAACTCTTCATCAAAGAGAGATTGTTTTTCTGAGTTTGGCGCCAAGATTGGAAACTGGATAGACATTGGAATTGAGGAGGAATATTGTTATATCAATAGATAATGCAAAAGATCTGCAGAGATCTGTCCAAACCTTCTTATCACAATGTGATGTATTTGTACTTTAGGAGAAACAACAACATACATAGATGTGAGGCTAGAGGATTACGGTATCTTACATTGGCTCTATAATTCATTACAGGCATAAAATACGTGTCAATCTCCCAGTTCCATCACAGGTGCAATGACAAAATACAGTAGTTGGTCGAATGATCATTTTTCCTCTCAATGTGACCATGTTTATTTTCAGATTTGTTAACAAATTAAGAGTTGGTTGATCCAAAAGAAAGTTTGCATTGGGTGAGGTTCTCATAGAGAAATGTGAGATAACACACACTAGTTTGCTATACCAGGAAACCTCTGTTTCCTGTTCTAGGGCAGCAGTAGCAGCAGCACATAGCCCAGTAATTCTTCTCCCACCATGCCAGGTTCACCTCACAGTGCAGAGTCCTGAAAATAAAGAAGAAGATTTTTTTTTTTTCTGTCTAGAAAAAGAACCAAACATGTTACTTTCTAGCCTGCTGAAGGTGGTCACAGCTTCACTCTGGCTAGGTAGGGATGGCCTAGTGGGAATGGACTTTCTATTTGAACTAAGGACCTTGGAAGTATCTTTATGGAAACTTTGGGAAGGAGGGGTAATGGGGTACAAAATTCGAACTTCTTTGTTCCAACCCACTTTATCCTTAAACCTTCAAATTCTCTTTTTTTTTTCCTTCAGGATCTGGCATTGCCCAGAAGATAACTCAAACCCAACCAGCAATGTTCGTGCAGGAAAAGGAGGCTGTGACTCTGGACTGCACATATGACACCAGTGATCAAAGTTACGGTCTATTCTGGTACAAGCAACCCAGCAGTGGAGAGATGATTTTTCTTATTCTTCAGATGTCTTATGACAAGCAAAATGCAACAGAAGGTCGCTACTCATTGAACTTCCAGAAGGCAAGAAAATCCGTCAACCTTGTCATCTCTGCTTCACAAGTGGGGGACTCAGCAATGTATTTCTGTGCAATGAGAGGGCACAGTGAGAGAACTGTCGGAGGGAGGTGTACAAAAGCCCCAGGGACCTGCTTGAGACCTCCATCTGCTGGAGAACCAAGGCGGGAAATCAACATCACAGACAGG